ATTCTGCAAAAGACAACTCTTCCAACTTCTTCCTCCGGCTGTCCCAAGTCTTCTCCACACGATCCGCATCACTGTCGCTCTCGGCAGGCTCGTGCAGCGCATGCACCTGCGCCGCCACCTGCAAAGACAACCGCCTGGAAATCCACATAGCAAACAATTGATTCTCGATTTTTCCAAATCTCCTGCTTGACCTCCTGCACTTCCAAACCAAAGGGTTCCGCACCCTCTTCTGTGTTCGCAAATTGCTCCAAATTTTCTCGCTTGACAAAACCAAGATACCCTTCGGGTGTCAAACCTCCTGGACGGAGAGCCACAGAACCGCCTTCGTCAACTGGACGGCGCAGACGATCCAAAGCACGTTCCAAGCGAAACCGCGAGACCAGGAAAGGCACCCGCTGCTTCCTATGTGGATCCTTGTTGCACCCCCTGATCAGCAACATCTTCATATCACCAACTGCTGCCGGAATGTCTCGGACGAACTGAGGACCATTTTGAAACAAGTTACCCACATGTCCCCGCAGCTCGCATTGACCTGTACCATACAAAGTAAAAATACGAACAAGGTGTCGGATCGGGGGCAAAATTTCTTCCTCGAAAAAAGCCAATGCGTCCGTCTCTGGCAAGCTGTCTCCTGGGTCTGCATGATTTGCCGCCGTCAACCGAAAAGGTTCCTTCGGCAGCTGCGCCTTGGCACGCTCTTTGGCTTCATGCAAGCAATTCTCACAGATGGGCCGGCTAGGTTCCAGCCAATCTTTTTCAGGAGCTCGGCAGAAGTTTGTTTTTTGGAAAGCTTGGCCCTCAAAGCCACCCGGTAGGCGACTTTTGCCTCGCCCTGTCGCAATGCCGAACCACCCTTCTTTGCAATACGAACAATCTTGAAACTCCATGTCCCGCATGTATGCATCCACTTCGTGCACGCGATGGAAGAACGGCATGATCCGGGATTCTGTGTCCATGCTATTCCCGTACAACTGCCGCGTACTTCTACCCTAAGTCTCGAAAGCTAGTAATTTTACTAATTTAGTAATTTTACTAATCCAGAAGATTTTACGTAATTTTTTTGTTGATTTTTGCAAAATTAGTAAAATGTAAAAAAAAGGAAAAGTGCATCAAAAGTGCATCAAGAATGCGCCAAGAGATGTGTGATAGTTTTTCGAATTTCCTTGAATTTGATACAGGAGGCAGAAGGAATGTCCAAATATTGTTGAGGAATGTGCAGAAATTAGCATGTGGAACCTGTAAAAGGATATGTCCTTTGCTGCAAAATGTTAATACTATGAAAGAAAAATGAAATTTCTCCCAGTGACTTCTCAAGTAAAAGTAAATGTTCTGAAGTCAAATCATCTTCCTATAGCAAGCGATTTCTGAAGAAAAATATGTTATGAAATAAAGTCAATGTAATACATGTTGAAGGTATGTACTTGACATTGATTTGGCTCGTTGGCTTTTGCGGTTTCTTGGCTTTTGTAGTTTTTTACTTCTGAATTTATATGCATTTTTTGTGAGAGGAATTGACATATGTTTTCAAAAAGTGTCCCAACTAGCCCTTTTTTGAGCTCTGAAAACAGTATTTCAGGACACTTGTTGAAATCTATTCTCCCACTATATCTACTTGATTTGTGCTTCACCACGTTTTCCATGACTGTCACGGTTCTGCGCCTCAACCTACGTTCCATATATATGGTCACAAGATGCATGTTGCCCAGTATAGACACCCAAATATATATATATATAGATACATGTTTACTTGAGTTTACTTGAGACTGCATGCAGTGAACTTTACTTGAGTTTACTTGAGACTGCATCCAGAGAGCTTTCCTTGAGTTTACTTGAGCCTGCATCCAATGAACTTTACGTGGGACTGCATTCATTGAGCTTTACTTGGGACTGCATCCAATGAACTTTACTTGGGACAGCATCCAGTGAACTTTACTTGAGCCTGCCCCCAATGAACTTAACTTGGGACTGCATTCATTGAACTTTACTTGGGACTGCATCCAATGAACTTTAATTGATTTTACTTGAGACAGCATCCAATGAACTTTACTTGAGTTTACTTGAGCCTGCATCCAGTGAACTTTACTTGGGACTGCATTCATTGAACTTTACTTGGGACTCCATTCATTGAACTTTACTTGGGACAGCATCCAGTGAACTTTACTTGGGCCTACCCCCATTGAACTTAACTTGGGACTGCATTCATTGATTTTTTACTTGGGACTGCATCCAATGAACTTTATTTGGTTTTTCTTGAGACAGCATCCAATGAACTTTACTTGGGTTTACTTGAGCCTGCCCCCAATGAACTTTACTTGGGACTGCATTCATTGAACTTTACATGGGACTGCATCCAATGAACTTTATTTGGTTTTACTTGAGACAGCATCCAATGAACTTTACTTGATTTTACTTGAGGCTGCATCCAATGAACTTTACTTGAGTTTACTTGAGACTGCATCCTCTTTGTTTGCTCGAATTTACTTGAGACAGCGCCCAGAGAACTTTACTTGGGTTTACTTGAGACTGCATCCAGTCAACTGTGATTGAGTTTACTTGAGCCTGCATCCAGTGAACTTTACTTGAGGTGACTGGAGACTGCGTCCAGTGAACTTTGCCCAGGTTTGCCTCCAGTGAACTGACTTGGCACTTGCTGCATACATTTTTCAAGAATTTTTTGGATTTTGTTTCCATTTCCTAAGAAAACATTCAAAATTGATGATGCACTTTTGGTGCACTTTTGATGCACTTTTGATGCACTTTTCAAAAGTGCATCAAAAGTGCATCAAAAACAAGGAAAAGTGCATCAAAAGTGCATCACTTTTAAAAGTGCATCAAAAGTGCATCAAAAATGCAGCAAAAATGCATCAAAAGTGCACCAAAAGTGCATCAAAAGTGCATCAAAAGTGCATCAAAAGTGCATCAAAAGTGCATCAAAAGTGCACCAAAAGTGTATCACTTTTAAAAGTGCATCAAAAGTGCATCAAAAATGCATCAAAAGTGCACCAAAAGTGCATCAAAAGTGCATCAAAAGTGCATCAAAAGTGCATCAAAAGTGCATCAAAAGTGCATCAAAAGTGCACCAAAAGTGCATCATGTTTTTGACCATGTTCAAGCATTTTTCTGAAAAAGCATCTTTAGACAGATGAAAAAAATAAAATTCCCCTGTGGAATTGAAAGTGGAGTAAGGGTCTCACTAAGACTTCTTGGCTGCATCCTTTCAAGCCAGCCAAAGGTTTACAAAGATTTCATCCAGACCTTCTCCAAAATTTTTTGATGAGAAAAAAAATGCCACAAGAGTCTATGAGTTTCCTTTTAAGTTGAGTCTTGAAACAGGCAAGTCTTCAGACCCCATGGGCAAATTTTTATGTAATTTGATCAAGGTTTGTAGCAAGCATACCTGAGTTAAGAAGGTTGGGTCTCACTAAGACTTCTTGGCTGTATCCTTTCAAGCCAGCCAAAGGTTTACAAGGATTTCATCCAGACCTTCTCCATTTTTTTTGATGAGACAAAAAAGTACCGCTAGAATCTATGAGTTTCCTTTCAAATTGGGTCTTGAAACAGGCATGTCTTCAGTTCCCATGGGCAATTTTTTTTTATCTTTGAGATTTCACCAAGTTTCATTTACCAAAGAAAATATCTAGATTTTTTTTGCAAATGTAAATGCTTTGCAATGACTTCTTAAAGTCAAGATCCAATGTAAATTCTTTTTGTGGCTTCATCTATACTTATGTAAATCCAGTCTGTATGTTCATATGCTTCTTTTGCACCAGGTAGGTCCCAAAGTAAATTCCATACATATATATATATATTCTAATTCACCTATCCTGAAAGAATTTTCTTCTGTTCTTGAGATGAGTTTTGCAAGCCACTGCAGTGCACCAATGGATTTCATGCATTGTCTTGGTATTTGATTTCAGGATTACTGTAAACCTTTTGGTACAGTCACAAGCAATATATAATATATATAGATAGATAGATAGATAGATAGATAGATAGATAGAAACATGATTTCACACAAAAAACCCAAATAGAATCTCAAGTATAGTCTCGCGCAAGTATCAAAGACACCTCAAATAAAGTCTCAAGTAGTCTCCAGTGCAATCTCAAGTAAAGTAACTCTTAAACACTCTACTACAGAAACAGCAACATATCGATTGAAATCCTCCAGCGGAAAGACCCCATTCATAGCCAAATCATCACAATCCACAACCACACACATCCAAAAAAGAACAAAATCCATCGAAAAAAATGCAAAACAAACATATTTTTCATCATGCATTAAAACATGCAAAATTTTACTAACGTTAGTAAAATCATTTACTAACATTAGTAAAATTTTACTAACGTTAGTAAATTTTACTAACGTTAGTAAAATTTTACGTAAAATAACGTTAGTAAAACAGTCGATTTTACGTAAAATTCAGGGCGAGTAAAATTACTAACTTTCGAGACTTAGGGTAGGCAGCCTTGGGCGTGGCAGCTGATTCCCCAGAACTGTCTCTCCCGCAAATAACTTCGAGTCATGCACGGACTTCGCTGGCATCTGCTCCACCTTGTGCACGAAAGGTTCCAACGCCTGTCTCAAACGTTCTTGATCTGACACGGACAACTGACTCCACAAACGCCGAATAAAATCATACCCAAATCGTAAATCTAAATCTGTTTTCTTGTTGTGACCACTGAATAGCTGCTCCACGCTGCTGGCGCCAAGCATCTTCAAATCAGCCTCCCTACGTTGCAACATCTGCACAAACTTCTCGACAAGCTCTGTCTCAGAAACGCACAAATCGTTCCCACCCTTCCACTTCTGCAATCTGTCCCGACAAACAGTGTAGATATCTCTGCATAGGGAAGGATTGCATGTCTTTGCTTTCGAAAATATCCACCAAAGCCTTCTTATTTTGTAGCTTCAACTGGTCACTGTGTTCGACTACAAATGCTGGAGCGGAGTGGGGCAGAAAAGCCACCGACGCGTCGCAAAGCACCAGCTCCCAATCTTCCAACAAATCTCTTTGTTCGACTGTCAGCAAACGATAATGACGCAAAAATAAATCTGTGCACGCATCCACACTCTGCATAGCTATGTGCTTGATTGCTCATAACCACATCCCTCAAGGTCTGCTTTTGCAGCTCCGCAATTTCAGATGCAAATTTTGCGAAAAATTCTTGCACACCAACCAATGCCGCCGCGCGAGCAGCGCTCGCTGCTTCGCGGTCGGCCGCGCTCGGTTTACACAGTTCTTCTTCCCACACGGCCATGGCTTCCATTTGCTCTGCTGCCAGTTCGCCATTGTAGCGTTCCAAAAATACCCGGGCAAAAGTCGACATCGGAAATTGTAGCATGTGACGGCTTCGCATAGCAAGCTGTATATTCCCGGCTCCTACTTTTTGTCAAAGCTTCCCCTCGCTCCGTGAGAAGCGACTCGACACGCTTGAAGCATCTCTGGAGACCGGGCAGAAAAGCCACAGCCTCCAGAGTGGACATCTTGCAAAGGACAAATTCCCAATCTTCCAACAAATCTCTTTCTTCAACTGTCAGCAAACGAAAATCACGAACAAAAACGTTTTTGGCCCGCATCCATGCTGGGTCGCTCCGGCCCTGGCTGCTCATCACTACATCCCTCAAGGTCTGCTTTTGCAGCTGCGCAATTTCATCTGCAAACCTTGCCAAAAAAATTTTTGCACACCAATCAATGCTGCCGCACGAGCAGCGATCGCTGCTTTGCGGTCGGCTGCGCTGGATTTACACAGTTCTTCCCACGCGGCCACAGTTTCCATTTGCTCTGCTGCCAGTTCGTCACTGTAGCGTTCCAAAAATACGACATCGGAAATTGTAGTAGCATGTGCCGACTTCGCAGAGCAAGCTGCTTGAAGCATCTCTGGAGACAGGGCAGAAAAGCCACAGCCTCCAGAGTGGACATCTTGCAAAGAACAA